CCCCCATCATGCCACCAACTCCAAAATGCCCTCAATGAGATTATTTCACCAGATACAGAACCACTGTGAATTAAGATTTCCAGATATATATTCCTCTCTTACCTGCTGGTTTACGGGAAAATTCCTGTTGATTTTTTTAATCTATAAAAGTAAATAGAATAACGGATTAGTAAATAAGCTGATTCTATTATGAAAAGCAGTCACGTGAAACAAACTGGCATTGTGATATGCTTCCTCTGTGAAATTGTTAGATTCACACTAAAAGAGTTGTTCATTTTTTAAACAATTTTTTTCTGGTGTATAATGGGCAGAAGGAATGACCTTGGGGAACAGGCAGAGGAGCCACAACCAAGACAATGGTGAGATAAAAGAAATCGCAGTCTGGGCCAGAGCTGAAACCTGAGAAAGAATCAAGACAAGACCCTCCCTAGTTCTCATGAAGGCAAAGGGAGGGACGGGGGAGTGGATTCAGACTTGCAAGATTCTGTTACTATAACCTTATATTAAAAGTAGTACTAGAATGTATAACTTTGGTTTCCTAGTCTGGTCTACCTTGAAGAGCTGACAAGGTGTCATTGCTGAATTTTGTACTTAAATGTTCTCTCATCAAAGGTCATACACTATTGTGCAAAACCACATTCTACTAAAATATCATTTCAGTTTACCTGATTTTACATAACTTTAATTCTGTAAATCTCTGTTAAATAATCTTTTTCTAAACTTCTCACATTTTGTATTGCAGTAATTAAGAAGAAAATGTATATTTATACATTATTACTCTTAGGCTTCTGTTATTGGATAGGGATTTACATACAATTCCTACAACTGTTTTTTTGTTTTCCAGGCTAAAACAAATTGATTTTCATAGAAAAGAAGCAACATTTCACACGTTTCTCAAGAGAAAAAAAAAAATGTTCTCCTACAGGAACTTGTCATGATCTGTGATAATAGCTCAGTTTTTATTTTTTCCTAAGAATATCCATTTCACACGTTTCTCAAGAGAAAAAAAAAAATGTTCTCCTACAGGAACTTGTCATGATCTGTGATAATAGCTCAGTTTTTATTTTTTCCTAAGAATATCCCCTTACTTTCTAACACCATCTAGCTATTGCATGTGATAACAGCAACAGCAGTGGCAACAGCAATTGTATTGTTAGTCTGGCCACCATTCTTCATTCTTTACAATGTTCAAAACATAAGATCTTTCCAGCTCACTAAGGAGGAGTGATAGCAACCCCCATGAAGGAATGATGTGAAATATTTTGATAAAATATTTGAGAGCCAGTTTGGTGTAGCGGTGAAGGTGCTGGCCTAGAAACCAGGAGACTGAGTTCTAGGCCTCCCTTAGGCATGAAAACTGGCTGGGTAACTTTGGGCCAGTCACTCTCTCAGTCCAGCCCCTCTTCTAGGATTGTTGTTGTGGGGAAAATAAGAGGCAGGAGTATTAGGTATGTTCACCA